GGGTGGGAATCTGGTTAGATTTGATATCAGCCTCGTCGTTCCCAACTCGCTTCCAACGCCTGGTTACCAAGGTAACTGCATTGATCCCCAGTCTGCCTACCCACGTTGTGAATTGATCTTAGACAGACGAGATCAAACAGTGGTTGGGGCCGTAATGCAAACTGAGTTCAACGGGGGTGATAATACACAAATATGCATAAAAGAAAATAAAATGAAAACTCAAAAAGTTCAAAGTATCAAAGAAAAAGGTAACAAACTTTATGTCTAGTTGTTCGATACATAGGACTGCATCTATCTCCCGACCCGTTCTATGGATTGTGACACGTCGTTTTCCGTTAGGCAAGTTTTAACGCTTCAAGTTGTTTGGTTTTTCGGTGTGTCTTCGGACGAAAGTCGAAAAAAACTTATTTCGGTGGTCTGGTTCTAAGTCGCTCTTCAAAATAATTGTTTTTGGGTTGAAGAGAAGTCCGGAATTTTGCGTGAATCTTGGTCAGCTATCTCGAGGCGGTTTCAACTGGAGACTGACTCTGGGAACTCAACTCTGGAAACTCGAGGCCAAAACTCTAATTTCTGCCTGTTGGGGCCTCGCTTTTATTGACGCCGACAAAAACCGGGTTGGGTCTGTTGGCGTCGGGGGGTTCCTCGATAATTCTAAATACATATCCATCTGTTTTATTTCTAGTTAGGGAGTATCCACTCTTTTCCATTTTTGGTAACCCCTCCTCACTGCCACTTTCTCACCATACCTCTGAGGGGCGTGAACTACCCTCCCCACTTCTTCGTAGCAGCTTCTCATACTTATACTCTGGATGGGGCGTTGACAGACTTCTTCGTGCGTCACGTGATCACTCCCGGCCAATGAGGTCTTGGTCGGGTATCTTTTCCTCCTCACGTCACGTGATCACCACTTGACCAATGATGTCTTAGTCGGGCGTGAACAATCCGTGGCTTTGTTTCGGGAAAAAAAAATACCTTGCTTAACTAAAAAAAAATTAATTATCTCTTCTCTTTCCTTTTTCTTCCTTTCAAATCGCCGTTATCATTTCTCTAGCCACGAACGGACAATATGACATCTCTTGTTTTACACGTGGTGTTTGTCAGGTAGTTTATAGCTAATTTATCGAGATGGTTGGTTTTCGTAACATGGGTTCAGAAAAGAAATATCCCCAAAATTTTCAGTCAGTCTGTCGCCTCCAAGGAAGAAATAAAAACACTTCTGGTTCCCATTCATTTTATGTCTGATAACATAATTTTATTATCGCATAGCAACGTTGTTTCGTCGAAAAGAATTCAGTCAGCTGCACTGCTTCGGTGGCATTTAATTTTCATATCTGTCCAAAGTCCTTTTTAGTGGCCTGTTTCTCGTTACTTATCGAAATAGCATTTTCACTTGAATTTTTCCTGGGCAGTGGTCCAGCCATTCGTGTACGCACCTAGATAACATAGCCGTTATCAAAACACATACGATTCGTCTCGCCTTTCTTTCTGCCTTCCTTTCTTTCTCTTTCTTTCTCTGCCTCGTAAATGGTGCCACAACATGTAAACATGTGACTAGTCGTTGCCAAACGTATCTCTCTTTCTCTCTCTCTTTCTCTCTCTCTCACTCTCTGTCAATATATATATATATATATATATATATATATATATATATATATATACACAGGGTGACCCAAAAAACCGGATTTTTTTTGAAGTGCGTATTGCCAGACATGAGCAAGTGGCAACACTGCGAGACAGTGACCTTGAGCAAGTAAACATTTCGCCATTCGGAATTCAAGATGAAATTCACATTATCCCAGCTGAGATGTTGCAGCAGTCAATGGGGAATCTCAACAGCAGATTTCAAGAATGCATTCGTACAGGCGGACGTAATTTAAAAAAAATGAAAATTCTATCATTGTTTCATAAATGACATGCTTTAAGGTTTCAATTACTATGAATAAAATATTTTTCTTCTATCATTATTGGTTTTATTGGATTGTTAAAAAGTTTCCGTTTTTTTAGGTCACCCTATATATATATATATATATATATGTGTGTGTGTGTGTGTGTGTGTGTGTGTGTAAGTGAATATGAGTATAGAAACGAAGAATTAAGAATCTTTGAACACAGATCTACAAATTTCATTATTTTTTCTGTATTTGAATATTGCTTTATTTTTACAAATATTCTTTGCCAACAACTTCATACAAAATAAATTGTGTTACTTTTTTTTACAGTAAAACCGAATGAATGAGGCTGGCATTTTTAACAATAAAAAATATTTAAATTTTCAGATACACTTGGTCGTATATTAATATATTTTTGTTCTCTTATTTCAATTTGTTACCTCGAATCCAAATGTAATTTATATATATATATATATATATATATATATATATATATATATATAGATAGATAGATATAAACCTAGTGAGCCAGTGTGAAAGTGTATATAAATATAAGTAAATATATATATGTATAATTATTTATATATTATATGCGCGGTACTTATTAGAAAGCGCTCAATATCAGAGATAGTGCTAACATATTTGGTTGGATAGATGTGAGTTTGTGACCCTGGGTTATTAAATTAATCTACCGTCTCACCCAGCAATAATAAACATCACCATATAAAATAACCAGTAAGGATTACAAATTTCTACCTGTTACATATACACAGTCATCAAAAACAAACAAATAACCAGCTTTAAATATAACAAATAAACCCCCATTTTTTTTAAATTTAAAAATAAATATAAATAATAATAATTTTTACCTATCATAATTATACACAAACCCCACCACACGTATATACATACATGCGAGGAAATATTATTCAGCGGAAAAATAAATAATATGACATGTATACATTCACGAGACATTCACGAGACATTTCCGCCACACTTCCAATCTTTAAATTTCAACATACAAAAGCGCATGTATAGACACAACACCACCCGTATACATACATATGTCATATCCGAAACTGCCCACATATGTTTATATATGTATGAGTCCCGACGGACGACCAAGTATGTATATGTGTCTGCATACATCGATGTTTGCTTTAGTACGATGAATGACAAAACGACGAAATTTCCCCCACCACTTCCACGATAACACCAATACACGCAATCTACATAAACCCAAATTTTTAAAAACATTAATCAGTTTGTCTGACGATCGCTAAAGCGTGAAACCCAGGGTCACAAACTCAAATCAAATATATATATATATATATATATATATATATATATATATATATATATATATATATATAAATCCAAATGTAAATATATGTATATATATATATATATATATATATTAAAAATCCATATGTATATATATATATATTAAAAAATCCAAATGTAATATATATATATATATTAAAAAATCAAATGTAATATATATATATATATATATATATATATATATTAAAAATCGAAATTTAATATATATATATATATTAAAAATCGAAATGTAATATATACGTATATATATATATATATATATATATATATTAAAAATCAATGTATTATATATATATATATATATATATATATATATATATATATATATATATATATATATATATATATATATGCAGATATGTAGAAAAATAGGAGGACACGTTAGGTAAAAAATCCGGAGTTCTTTGTTCTTTAGTATGCTTGTTTTTTATTTTTTTTTTTTAAATATATATATATATATATATATATATATATATTTCTCTTCTGTCTTTCGCTGTTACAAATCACTTAATTTCTTTTTTCTTTTTCTTTTCTTTCCAAAGACGGAAGTGAAAGTCGTCCTTCGTTAACTGCATTTCGGAATAAGATATTTTACAAGCATCGTGATTTCTCACCTGATGAAACGCTAAAACCAATTTAAACGTTGAAACAAGATGTACAGTTTTGCATTAGGTATGCTCTAACGTAACACTGCATAATATATATATATATATATATATATATATATATATATATATATATAATTTGAATATCCCGTAAAATAATTAAGTAAGTAACAAGGAGGAAAACTATTGTAAATTTAATTTATTTTCCTGCTTATTTAGTGAGCATCAGTATTTTGGGGAATGGTATAGACTAGAGATATTTTAAATTCTCTCGAAATGACATAATTTAGTCTTGGTTATAACGATAAGCTATATTCGGCAGCAAGTTCTGATCGGAAGATTGGAGGTTTTGAGGAGTGTGGAATCATCTCTTAATTACTGTTGTTCCCATGTCCACTCTGAGCCAGGGTGGTAGCACCTACTAGGGTCCCAGCTATGGGCAAATAGCGAGCCACTATAGAATATGAAAGCATAATTTTTTTTTTATTACAAGAATGCTTTCAATTCATTTTTATATGATTAAATGACCAACAGTACCTATTTAAAGTAAAATGATCAGTGAGGCGTGGCAAAAAGTATGGAACTCCTGCCCAAACAATAAACTGTACAAAATGAAACCTGCAGTAGGAGAATGGCACCAGAAACACCAAACGGGAAGAGGAGTGATTATGTTCAGGCTCTATACTGGACATACTACCATAACCCATTCGTCTATCCTAAAAAAGGAAAATGCGCCGATATGTGTGACATGTGAAGAGCCATTCGCAATAAAAGATACTGACAAATTGCAACAATTTTAATTCAATCTGATTAAAATACTACAAAGCAACAAGCTCAAACGAACGTTTTCAAATTACTGATTCATTTTACTTATACCAGTTTCTAAGTGAAATTAAACTGATTTCAAAAATATAATTAAAAAATATATAACTGTTATATACCTTACGTATGAACACTAATGGGTATGTCCCAATTCTCATAAATACGTTGGACACTATTATAAGTGGTGGGAGGGTAATATGGTGTCTATGTAGTCTACCACTAGCAGTGGTTTACCTACTTGACGCCGCTGGCGAGTATTGTATTTTGTTGATGTTATAAAGATTATCATTTCATTTCCAACCCCCGTTTTGGTTATTTCCCATTCAGTAACATTTTCGAGGTTACAACATCTATCTATCTATCTATCTATCTATCTATCTATCTATCTTTTCATATCTATCTATCTATCTATCTATCTATCTATCTATCTCCGCCTGGTCTTTTTCATATCTATCTATCTATCTATCTATCTATCATTGTTATCTATCGTTATATAACGTACATCTCTTTCTTTCTTTCTTTCTTTCTTTCTTTCTATTACAATCTGTTCTAAATTATCTATCTATAACAATATGTTCTTATCTATCTATCTATCTATCTATCTATCTATCTATCTATCTACTATATACCGCTCTTATGAACACTAATGGGTATGGCGCAATGCTCATAAAGTAGTTGGACACTATTGTTAGTGGGGTGGGGTCTATGTAGTTAACCACTAGCAGTTGTTTACCTACTTCACGCCGCTGGCGAGTATTGTATTTTATGATACCATTTCATTTCCAACCTCCGTTTTGGTTATTCCTCATTCAGCAACTTTTCCTAGGCTACAACACTATCACCCACTGTTCTTTCTATGTATCTATTGCAATTTGCTCGTATCTATCTATCTATCTATCTATCTATCTATCTATCTATTCCTCATTCAATACCCTTTTCTAGGTTACAACAATAGCTATAACAGACATCAGTCTTACTATGTAAAATACATTTTTTACTGATTAAATACAAGATTGTATTTAGAAAAATATTAAATTTCGGCATTAAATCACCCAATGGGTTGATATGCTATAAGAAAAATAATCCCCAAAATACAGCACCAAGCAATCCGTGTCCTTGTATGTCTGTTCTGGGAATGTTAAGAATCCAGACGAATCTTACCTAAAGTTACCACCTATCTCAGATGCGTAAATGAGGTTTATTTACACACACACACACACACACATATATATATATATAAATGTAAATATTTAAAAGAAAAAACAGACCACTTTAAGGTACCATTATAATAATTCACTAGATCCCTTTTAAAGGATGCCGGATCATCAGATAGCACTTTCAAAAATGAAATGAAACGAAAAATGAAATTAAAAATGATGGGTAGTGTAAGTTTTTGTAATTTAACAGAGAGTGTAAAAGGGGTAATTAAAGAGACATGGGACAGTATAGGGAGGGATTAATTTCATATCTCTCTCAAGCGTACTTTGTATTGGGGGAGGAGGAGGACCAGACCTTGACCTATTTAGACGGTTAACTGAACGGAAGTGATATTATTGAATTGGGAGGGGAGAAGGAGAAAAGAAAAAGGAAAAAAGGAAAGAGAAAGAAGAGACAGAGGGAAGTAAAGAGAAAGAGGCTGTAATTGGGTTTTAGCAATTTATGTAAAGAATAGATTTTAATGCTTGATAGAAATTTAGATGTCTAAAAAAAAAACAAAAAAAAACGGATTACCAAGTTCTTCATAACTTAAATATATATATATATATGTGTGTGTGTGTGTGTGTGTGTGTGTGCCTCAAATGAAAACCTACCGAAAATAAAAAAAGCAAACTCAATAATGCTGAACCACGTGACAAACGAAGAATTAAACAACAGCTCGTAGCACTTTCTCGACTTTTGATTAAGCCGAAAGAAAAGCAAATTAGATTTCAAAGTTTACGGAAAACCAATTAATAAAAATGAACTAATCAATTTTTGTTCCCCTCACGACAAAATAAAATCTGTTCTTATCAGAGGTTTCTATCTTCTAGCCCCCAGAACATCGAAATGAAGACAAATACCTGGTGTAACATCAAAATTGTCCAAATCGTGTAACAGTAAAATTGTCCTATTGTTACATTAATCTCTGAACCGTTGTATCTAGGAAATTTTTATGGTCCGGTTCCTTGTACCACGGTGACAGTCCAAGGTAGAACCAATAAAGAAGAACTCGAACACAGGTATGGAATAAAACAGATATATTACAAACAAGAATATATACAGAGAAGTAGAAGTGTTAGCATGAACAATCAGGTTTAGTAGAGAGAACAATGTGGTCTCGACCAGTATCACTATTCCAATGTCTTGCAGTAATTGTCTGAACGCGACGCTGTTTCGGACTGCCTCTGACTCGACTCTTGACTCAACTTGAACTACTGACTCGCCTTGAACTACTGACGATATTCAGTTCCCCCCACTGGGGCATCATGTGGTACAAGGTCAGTTTTTAACGTGGGCTCCCCGAGCCCGTGGGCTCGGCCAAAAATATGCCCATTAAACCCGTATAAACGGGTACAGGGTCGGTTTACCTCCCCGAAAGAGACTCCGCCCTTCGGTGTAACCTCGTTCGGGTTCCTCCCCGCCAAAAGGCAAAAGTTCATCCGAACAGCCGGTTCAGAAGTGAACGACTGACGATATTCAGTCACCCCCCACGATGGTGTCATGTGGCACAAGGCATTTTTAACGTGGGCACTCCGAGCCCGTGGGCACTCCGAGCCCGTGGGCTCGGCCAAAAATATACCCATTGACCCGTATAAACGGGTTCAGGGCCGGTCTACCTCCCCGAAGGAGACTCCGCCCTTCGGCGTAGCCTCCTTCGGTTTCCTCCCGCCCGAAGGCAGAGAGTTGAACCGAACCGTCGCTCAAGAGTTGAGCGACGGACTCTCGCCTACTGACTGAGGTGAAGTATTTATTAAGTATGGAATAGTCCATTATTATTAGAATAGGTAAGATCCCATAACAGAAATGATTAAATGAATTTTACTGAAATTCTCCGATCTACATTGAACAATGTTGCTCTATCATCGTCATCTTGCGGCCTCAGCCGAGATTGAACTCGGCAATACTTTGATTGGTGTAGTTCATAATCTTGTCAAATAGCCTAATTCTAGATGCTTCGCTAGGGCTATCAAGGGTGTTTTTATCGTGGCACCATCACTAAATGGATTGCCAACCAAGGCTCAGAGAGACTCCATTCCCCCTCCTCTAAGAGCAGGTTTGAATTCAGAGTTTTCCTTCTCCTAGACCAGTTGCCATCCAAGGCTATAGAACCCAGTCTGTCCTGCTATTTTACCCATAGCTGGAGGGAGAAGTAGAGGATTTAGGATTTGGATTAGCACGTAAGTGAATGTAATGGACTCGACTGGAATTCGAAGTCGGCTCTCCGATTCCTCAATCCAAGCCGCTATCCATTACTCCACCGTGCCTCGTACTCGTTTGAGCAAGATAAGCTTGCTAACCGTTACACCGCCTAGTGCCCAAGAAGAATATACAATATAAAAAAATACGTAATATTCGATATGGTATATATATAAGTTGAAATGATGATCCCTCTTTTTGATGTAACCTTCTGATCCAGTTTTCCTCTCTAATGTTCCCTCTTTTTTAAAACTTATTCCCCGTTCTCTTGCTGGTTCTTGAACGGACTTTGAAAATGGAAGCCAGAGTATGAATGTTGGTACCATTACTGAAAGCCTCAATGATCTTTTTTCCTCTCACCATTGCTCATTTGGGAAACCAGTAGGGCTGACATAAAAGAATTTAACATGCTCTCTTTTTAGCTGAATAACTCAGCGTTTTTCAGTGATTCTTACGACAAATGGTGTCAAGATGGCTAAACATCTTATCGGAAAACCTAGAAAAAGTAACTCAATTAGTTTTGTGTGTTTTTTTTTGGTTTTTTTTTTGTTTTGTTTTTTTTTAGATATTAAACATTTTGTGGTTCGGACAATTATACTATGGTGTTACATAATTTGGGCAATTTTGCTGTTACACCCGGTATTTGGCAAAATTCTTAAGATCGTTCATTTTCCTAATTATTTCATTTTACAGGGTGATCCGTAAGTCTTGTCACTCCTACATAATATAGTTTTCTATTTTAACAGGGGTGGGGAGATATGAAAGATAGAATTTCACATGCACGATACCAGAATACTCATGAAGGACGTCATTTGGAGAACCTTTAAAGCAATCAGCAAAGCACGTCTTCGTAAAATAGCACACAGGACATGGCGCCGCGTCATTTTGTACCACTAAAATAATGGTGTTCATACAGACCTTCTTGATGTGTGACAGCGTCAATGAAAGTGAATAAACTGTCTCCAGTACACGTGCTTTTTATTAATGTATTGTTATTCTAATCTCATTAATTTTGGTAGGGATGATATTGTCAGACATTTTCATGACGGTCGTTCTCGAGTATAAAATCCAGAGGTTGGCAGTGAATATTTCGGAGACAGTAGGAAAGCGTACTTTAGGTTCGCAGTGGATATCACAGCAGAGTGTAGTTCATCCTTCTCCTGGTCGCCTTTGGTCCTTCCGGTAAGAAAACAAAGATGGCCGCCTTTATACACGACGGATACAATGTTCAGCGGCTTCTGATTGGTCAACCTTCTATTGGTCGACTATAAAGGGAAATAAGTCATTCTGACTCGTATATGTGTTATATACCCAAAAAACCGTAACAGCCTTCCTTATTTTGGGTATATTATGGAATCTTCCTTCAAAATATTAGTAAAGTTAATAAATACTTTAATTCCAAATTTTTTTTTCTTTTTTCTTTTTAAAAGGTAATATTAATATGCAACAAATACTTTAGTATTCCAAATTTTCTTTTTTTTTTTTTTTTTTTCTTTTTCTTGAAAATTAATATCCACAAAAATTAGTCATATCACTTTGTTCACATTTAAGTACTTCGGGTTAATAAAACATGAACAACAATATTATTAGTTTAGATTGCGATCACAACAAAAAGTGGAAATAATTGTTACTTTATCCATAGCTGGGACCCATTAAAACAGTTACTACCACTCCGGATCAGAGTGATCCAGAGAGTCACTAAAAAGTGAAAAATTGTTATTTTATCCATAGCTGGGACCCATTAAAACAGTTACTATCACTCCGGGTCAGAGTGATCCAGAGAATCATTTAGAAGAGTATTGGGCTCAAAGTAGGACTATTTACTTTTATACCCCGAAACTAAGGACTTACATTCATACCAAAAACTGAACTGACGTTTCTTAGGACAGTAACTAATGGATGCAGTTTTACGTCCTACCCAGGACCTAATAAGGACCTTACAGGGACTTAACGGATGCAGTTTTACGTCCTACCCAGGACCTTATAGGGCCTTAATGGATGCAGTTTTACGTCTTGCCCAGGACCTGTGAGGGCCTTAATGGATGCAGTTTTACGTCTTGCCCAGGAACAATAAGGGCCTAAGAAGTCAGTACCAAACATTGCAGAAGCAAAAAGCCTGTAGTTTCAATTTCATAATCGGTTTTTACAAATAAATCCGCCATATCACTTCCCGATTGAACATATTCAATTTGTACTGTTTTCTTTTGTACTTGGTCCCTCAGAAATTGATATTTTATATTGATATGCTTTGATCTTTAATGTTGAATTTCTAGACAAAGCAATGCTGCTCTGATCGCCGAGTAAATAATTATTGGCTCAGTTATTGCCAGTATTGTAATTGCTTTTATTCGCAATTTAAGAAAAATAACTTCTTGTGTTCCTTTTCACAATGCAATACATCCAGCTTCACAAGTAAAAAGTGAAATCTTTCGCTGTTTCTTAATTCCTGCTGATTATTGGGTTACCATCTGCTAGCTTAAAGCAATAGCCTGTTATACTCTTATGGTCTGGTGAATTGGCCCAAACAGCATCACAAAATCCTTCCA